TATATATATATATATATATATATGGCAAACATTTTTTAGACCACCCTTGTTTTCTTCAATTTCTCAATTTCTTGTTCATTTTCGTGCCTGGTACCACTAAAGGCAAATTACTTGAAGAATTGAAGAATACAATGAACACGACAAAAAAAAAATGCAGCTGAATACACAATATGTAAGAAGCCATTTCATGTAATAAGCAGCATTGCTGCACATGCAGAGGCCTAGAGTGGTTTCCTGCTTACATTCAAGCCGTAGCACAACTCAGAAGTTGTCAGTTCTCACATAATGTCTAAAACAAAAGAATTATGTGAAGCCACAAAGGCAGCCATCTTGGCACTGCTGGAAATTGGCATGAGTGAGAGACAGGTAGCCCAAAAAAACGTCAGATCTCCAGGGACCTTAAAAATGAGTTGGCACTGTCGAGAAATGGGACTTGTTCGGCAAGGACAGTTTGAAACTGACTTCTTGAAACTGGTCTGAAGTCACACAGCGCACTGAAGAAGCCCTTCATCACTGAAAGACAGAGGAAAGCCTGGTTACTCTTTGCTGGGGATCACAAGGATCGGACTGTTGATGATTGGACTGAGGTTCTCTTCAGTGATGAATCCAATTTTCAGTTGATGCCCACTCCAGCCAACTTACTGGTTCAGAGGAAGCCTGGAGAAGCCGACAAACCACACTGTCTGGCCCCTACAATAAAACATGGGGGTGGATCAGTGACGATCTGGGCTTGTTTCAGTGTGGGTGGAACAGGGCACATGCAACTGTGTGAGGGGCAAATGAACCAGATCATGTGCAGGGCTACTTCTGAAAACAGTCTTCTTCCATCAGCTGGAAAACTCTTTCTTGTCTCAAATGACTGGATTTTCCAACAAGACAATGCCCCTTACCACACAACAAGGTCAGTTGAAGCCTGCATGGGGAACCAGAACATTGGAACAATACCTTAGCCTGCTCAATCACCAATCAATCAATCAATCAATCAATCAATCTTTATTTCTAAAGCGCTTTTCATAATATAATGTAATTCAAAGTGCTTTACAGATTAAAATCACCTTAAAATCATTCCCACCCTTCCCTCACGCACAAACAAACAATATCACACTCATACTCAACACACACACACACACGCATACACACCAGCACCAACAATATGGACATGGGGCTGAGTACGGATGAACCAGGTAAGNTCATATACATACAATACATTTTACAGTACAAAAAACAACTCAGTTAACTTCTGCAAACTGTGTGTGGAGGTGGAAACCGAATTGGGGTAGTGAACAGTAGGATTAAGGATTTTGTTTCAATCTTTCAACCTCGGTCAATTTATCAGAAAACACTTATTAGAGGGGATTTCAGACATAAGAATGTCCAATATTACTCTTTCAAATGTCACTTAATCACTAATATTGTGTGTGTGTGTGTGTGTGTGTATATATATATATATATATATATGGCAAACATTTTTTAGACCACCCTTGTTTTCTTCAATTTCTCAATTTCTTGTTCATTTTAGTGCCTGGTACCACTAAAGGCAAATTACTTGAAGAATTGAAGAATACAATGAACACGACAAAAAAAAAATGCAGCTGAATACACAATATATAAGAGGCCATTTCATGTCATAAGCAGCACTGCTGCACATGCAGAGGCCTGGAGTGGCTTCCTGCTTACATTCAAGCCGTAGCACAACTCAGAAGTTGTCAGCTCTCACATAATGCCTAAAACAAAAGAATTATGTGAAGCCACAAAGGCAGCAATCTTGGCACTGCTAGAAATTGGCATGAGTGAGAGACAGGTAGCCCAAAAAAACGTCAGATCTCCAGGGACCTTAAAAATGAGTGGGCACTGTCGAGAAATGTGACTTGTTCGGCAAGGTCAGTTTGAAACCGACTTCTTGAAACTGGTCTGAAGTCACACAGGGCATGAAAGAAGCCCTTCATCAATAAAAGGCAGAGGAAAGCCTGGTTACTCTTTGCTGGGGATCACAAGGATTGGACTGTTGATGATTGGACTAAGGTTCTCTACAGTGATGAATCC